CATGACCAACTCTCGATAAACCCACACGGCCTGGACTATCCATTTTTTTCTGTTAATTTTTCTTGTAAAATAATATCGAGAGAAATCCTCATTCCCATCCTACCTACGTCAAAAGGCTAACCAACAATTCCCTAGACTGTCACAAGATGTGGAACGCTGTATCTCGTATTTTGTGAAAATTATATTATTTTACAATTAAATGTATAGATTTTCATCATAAATCCAACTATATTCCGAGATCCAATACTTGATCAGTCAATTATTTACTAATAATAATTCTATCGAATCCAAAATATAAACTCCTTATTATTGCGGTTTGGGTATTGGTATGAGGTGAGAGGTTTAATTTTCGGTTGAGAAAAAAAACAGGAAGAATGTAGATTTTTTCTTCGGCTTCTCTATGGTAAGCTATTCTAAATGAAAAAAATAAGTGTCGGCTCTTTTTTTTATAAGAACAGCACACATTCAAACGCACTGACGGGAACGCTTTGAGATTCAGTGAGGCTCAGCTGAATCTGTGCAGCCAACGCTGTTACTTGATTCTCACGCTTTATAATGTAGATCGCGAGAATGTGAACATCAACCCGTTGCTATGTGCCCATCTTTTTCCTATTGATCGGAGAAATACGAGTCGTCCCAACGAAAAGCATATACTAGAAGTAAAAATTTTCTTTTGTCAAGAATATTTACTAGCCTCAGGGAAATATATTTGGCAAAAGAAATTTTAGTAAAAGTATATTAGAGCTACTTCTATTTCCAACTTATTCCGTTCCATAATGTTGTAAATTTGAGGCATATCCTGCAGTAAACAGACATCCTTAGTGTCAGAACTGAGCTATTGATGAATTCAACCTCTGAGTCATCTCACTTATTTTGGTGAATGCTCATGTAGGTGTACAACCACTCCCAACTTGGCTTTTCCTTCTAAAAGCAGTTAATTTATAATTACATATATAATATTATGATGTGTTTACTAAAATTTAACACGTGGTGAAGCACTTTTTCAAAAAACCTTTCAAGCCTCACCAACACTTAGCATAACCGGGATCGCGACGGGGACGCGACTGGCATGAACACTATCAAAGGTCGACTTGGACCGGTCTAATCTCTCCAGATATATACCTAATTGAACGCGTCTTAATGTTTTTTCTTTCTTTTGTTTTTGATAGGTATTAAGATGAATAATAACTCTGAAAAATTGAAAATTATATGAAGTGCTCTGTTATACTATTGCCGACATTTTTTGTCTCTCAGTATAGGCGACTTAGGCAAAGCAACATACATGGAGAGAAAAATACTCAAAAAATTACGCAAGTTTTACGTAATCCTGGGGTGACGTTGCTTTTCGGAAAAAAGTACTGAAAGTTCGGTAAAAATTAATCGTAATGAGTAAGAATGCTCACGAATCCGTCAGGATAATTTTTACGGTATCTCCAGTACTTTATTGGTCAGAAATTTATAATTTCTCCAATTTTCAATGACACAAAAAAATTTTCCTACCTACTGGTATGCTCCAGATTTTAGTCAATTGCGTTATTGTTGAATATGCGGACATACAGCATTGTCAGCGTGATACTTGCCAGTGTAACCGGATTGTGCTGACCAAGTGATGATATATAAACAATTATGTATTTAAGAGGCCGTTTGGGTATGCCGGGAGCAGATTCGAATAAGGTACCGACGTGTGTCAGTCGTAATCATTGTAATCAGCCAGATGACATAGCTAAAGTAATAAACTCTCATATTTAAATGCCTATAAACTATTGATGGGATTTATTCCTTCGAGCCTGAAACCTACAATACTCATAAGTAGCCCCCACGCCAGGTTTAACATTATTACTGATATGACGATTAAAGGCATTTTTATATTATATTACATTTTGGCAAATGGTTTGCGCGTGTGTCATTAAACCAACCCTCAAACAAACAACAATCGGCTAATTACTTGGTTGGTCGTGACTCAACTAGATTTGAATCTCCTCCTTGACTACCAGTTGAATTATATCACTATATAGAATGAATGATTGGGGGTCGTCACGGATTTTCCCGTTATGCCGTTATACAATGATTCCAAGCTATTTTCACGTCCATCTATTATTGTTTTCTGAGTATCTTCTTCACATCCTTTCACCTCTCATTCCTTGGGAAAGTGAAGATATTGTCTACTTCTCATCGTTATATTTTTATAATTTTCTCGTTTAGATTTAATTTTTAAGAAGTATTTATAACGTGCGGAACTTTCAATCTTTCGTCCTTTATTTCTCCACACACTAGGTTTCTAGGAATATAAATGTTTTGTTCATCATTTTGGCAATAATCATAGGATAAGATTAATATAATCATAGGATAAGACTAATATATAAAATTCATAAAATTCAGAAGAAACATTGAATATCCACTAAAGGATGTCTTCTAAAACGTTATTTACAATGTTCTCAACGTGTAAATTATTCTTACGACACCAGAAATGGCGAGAATTTTATTAATCCCTCACAATTTAATAATCGCAATTTGTACTCCGTAATGTCGATTATGATTTCAAACGAATAAACTGCGTGTTTTAATTTGTGCGATGATCATTTTCTATGTGTGAGATTATTTTAAATAATTTGAACTTTATTTCAAAAAATATTACTGTTCGTTAAAAAGGAAACCAAATTTCGGGAAATAATAACAATTTTCACGCTCTCGTTTCATGATTCCGGAAAATGCACTATAAATTTTCCAATGAAATTTTTTGCTGTTCCATCGAAGCGACTTCGGAAATTCGTGTTTCACATCTTTATCACATAGCCCATGGCTAGAACCTCCAATTAGATGTTGATGGCACTACCATTCCAAAGTGTACCCCAACATTTCTCGGACCTGGTCAAATCTGATCGCTGGGCCCGTATGTTACCCATTCCTTTCTCTTCTGCCGAGACACAAGCGAAAAATCATCAGCAATAAAATGATGGGGCAAACGCAAAAATGCGCAACGACAGATAACGAGAACGACGAGAATATTAGGAGAGAGCTCAAGTGACTTAAGAAAACCGTTGATCGTCAGGAAAGAGTTATCCAGGCAATGAACCACGGTGAGTTTTCACGTTAAATGTTTCCTCAGCCGCACGGAGATGGTTATAGCGGTGGAATTATCATACCAATTGAGGTTATCCCGAGACCACCATCCATTCAGGCCAATTCGACTGACATTGGCATGGTTATTCTCCTTCTAATTATAGTCTATTGGGATTAGAAGCGATAAATGATGAAACTCTCTTGTGATTTTCATTAATGCAACTAACTCCATTAAGTAGAACGCATGTCTTTACTGAATGATACCCTCTGAGAGATTGAGCGACGTGAAGAAATTGATGGCGAATTCTACTTAGACATACGACCGCATAGAAAGCCATTCATTACACTTCTCCTTTCTGTTTAGACTCAATAATAGTCATTTATGCTACAAGGGCTGAAAAATATTTTGGCAGTGTATTCTTTGAAAGTCCGCACCGAAGGGGCGGATTTTGATGAAACATGTTGTGAAAATATTTTTCAAGCCGTGTGGCATGTTAATTCGTGTTACGAGGCCCGAGGTAAGTAAAAAGAAAGGCGATAAGCGGCCACTTACCTCCCTAAAGCAATAAAAATACGGGCAATGAAGTCAGGGCCGGCCAAGTGACATAAAATCATATAAACACTCTGGCCCCAGTTATCAGCAAATAATCAATGCGGGGAAAATGCAATTTTTTCAACCTCGAATTGCACCTAGACTGGAGAAGACTTGTTCCTTTTTGAATCTGCCAGGTTTGGAGAAGTTTTGCTGGAGGTTTGGAGGTATCTTCATAATTTCTTTATTAATTTTATCATTAGGAAATAGATCCTCGAGTAGATCAAAAATTTGAGTAACCATGAAGCAGTGCAATTTCCGTCTGAAACCATTGAGATAAGAAGAAACCCTTTACATTGCGAATCTGAGCTCTCAGCCCTTGAAGATACGAAGTAAGTACAATATTTACGAAACGTCAACATCAAAACACCCGACATAGCGGTCATTGCTCTAAAGTTTAGAGGTCCTAAACAATAATGAACGAGATCTACTGCGCACTATGAGCGCCAAATTTGAATTTGCCAGTTCGAGTTGACCAATAAGGAATCTATCAATGGGTTTCGAGATATTTCAACTAAAGCGAACTTCATTCATGTTTCTTTGCTTTCATAATGAGAATGGAATCAATAATCGATGGTTGACATCAGAAGAGATTATGAGAAGAACAGCAAGATTGCCTGCGACTGAAGTTGAGAAAACTGCGATTCGGAAGACAGTTCTCTCTTAACAATTATCACCCGGCGGTGGTCCTTTTAATAGGATACCCAGATAATATAGGTTCACCGCAAATAATAATTTTTCTAATATTAATTCTTCAGATTCACTCAAGGTTAGCCCCTGGTTCTATACAAGAGTGAATTAGCTAGTGAAAGTAGAGATGGCAGAATGGGGGGATATCATTGTACCAGAAAAGTCATGTTTCGTTGCTATACCTGAAAACAATTATGTTAGATCAAGCTTTCATTAAAAAAAGGTTCTCCAAAAATATGAACAAACGTAAAATAAACAGGAAGATGTTTTCCAAGTTTAGAATCAAAGATTCGACTAACTCTACGATTAATTCTATCGACCAATATTTTTCTTAGTTAGTTTTCCAGTTGTTCCCTGTTTTTTTAATATTCGACATTAGACTAATTCGGCAGAATCATTAAAAATATGCAATCATTATTAAAAGCAATTCTGCAAGCTTCAATAGCATTCGAAAACTCGCCGATTCGGTGGCTATTTTCGTTCTTTGTAAGCAGTTCCCACGGTTTCATTCTCGATATTTTCACTTTGTAAGAGCGTTCACGACTTTCTGCTCTTACTCTTGTCATCGATCTTCATTCTCAGAAACTATTAAAATCCGTATCTATCTGAAACCCCAAGAATCCGTTTGAAATAGAAATTCGATGTGTCTAAGTCTTACCTCACTGGCGCTGGTATAGTTGATATTAAGTCTAATGTGTGGCCGAATTTTACCAGGTGATTCTCGAGTTTCTTTAGCAGGCGCGAAAGTCGTAGCTTCCGTGGTTTGAATATTTCTTATAGCCAGAGTACTTAATCCAGTAGTCTGTGTAATTTCTGAGATTCGGGATCTCTCCATTGGCGTCGATGAGAGAGTAGTCGTTAGCAACGATACAGTCGATGTGTTTACATTAAGTGGCGTTGTTTGATTCGCCTTTGTCGGTATTACAATTGACGTCTGAGTGGAGGGAAATGCAGTGCTCCAATGCACCATATACCCCAAGACGAATATAAAAGATGAAAACTTCATTGTCTTCATTGATTCCAGCACCTTGGAGTCAACGGTGGACTCAATTATGTCTGACCAGTACTCAGGCTTATAGTTCCTGTGGAGAATCAAATGAAGCGCTAATTAATTTTAAATATTTGTCGTTCAGTGCATAGTATCAATGGTCACAAAACAAAAAACCCGGGCACCAGCACTATAAATCATTACATATTTTTCTTTTC